CCGTTTTAATTTTTTCCCCTAAATTTCTTATTATCATTAGAAAGAGTATATTTTGTTTTGGTTTGTATTATTAGAATGATAAAGTCATTTCAAAGATAGAGATCAAGGGTGCTGATTGAAGTATCTGGTTTATTGTGTTCATGCAATGTAATGAGTCAGCTATACCTAATCTGTTGTTATTGTCCTGGGAAAGATACTTTGACTATGCTATTTTGACTTCTCATAACTATGAAAAACACTCACATTTTAGATTGAAATGTCCCTTGCCTTCTCCCCATACAAAGCTCAAATTTGAGGGAATGTCTGACATTAAGTATATACATAAGAACAAGAGGAATGTTAAAATCATATGCTTCTTCACATTAAAAAGCATCTTCTTAACCATTTTTATTAGCTCTTCTATTGTTATTTTGTTTTTATATAGTCATAATTATATAATCATAAATATACTTTATGTATATGTGATCAATCATAACACACTTCATTGTGTATTTGGCCATAACTGTGTCATATATGTGATATACAAATCTCTCATATATATATGATCATAATTATACTTTATAGATATACACTTCATATGATCATAACTATAGAACCCACAGTTTCTGTCCTTCTGGCTCTGCTATGGATGGTGGGGGATAGATGTGAATGAAGGAGCTAATTTGAGCCTAGAAACAGAGTGGCAAGAGGAAGGTGTTTTAATTTTTGTTTTGGCCTCTTACTATCCAAATCTCTTTTAATTAGTTAAAAATTAAGTTCATTTTCCCCAGGTTACATCTATTTTGCCCAGGACAGTAATGGATATGGGATCACCCTAACTTTATGTTGATCTTTGAGCTTTTCAGTTTATCCTCTCTTCCCATTCTGTTGAAGGGGGGATAGTGGATGGTGTGAGGTGGGTAGAGGTCTGGCAGCCAGCCAAAGTCAACATAGTACAGAGGATATGGTTTGGAATTGGGTGATCTAGGAAATTTTTGAGTGCAAAGGATGAACTATTTGGTTCCAAAAATGATATACCAAGAAAAAAATTGAGTTTTTAAAGTCTCTAGCATTTATAGTTTTCTCTGTTTCAAATGAAAAGGAATAGCTCTCTAGGTTTTCATGCTGTAAGACGAGAAACTGCATCAGAATAAAAGACAACATCCTACATCTTCTACTTTGATATAAAAACTTTCAAGAACTGAGAACTAAGTCTTGAAGGGACTTCTTCAATTAATCATGTTTTGAAAGAAATTATGTAGTAAACCTAAACCATGGCTGGCTTAACATAAACTTAAATAAGTGAAATTTAGAGCAAGAGACTATATTTAAGATATTTAAACAATTTAATATATTTGCATGGAAAAAAAAAAAAAAAAAAGACAAACTCAATACCCTATCAGGTGTAAAGCAGAGAAGAACAACTAACTCAATACACAGTTGTCCCAAATTTTTTGGTGTCATTAACTCTTGGATATATCAGCTTTTAGACTCATGAATGTTTTATTTGCTCTTTCATAGATCTTCCTGAGAGATAACCAATTGGATACTGGACAACAAAAGACGTAATCAGACTCCGCTGACCTGTTTAACCCTGATTGTGAAGGATGAAAAGCAGCAGCTGCTTTCTGTGGAGCAACACTTCTGGTGTCACTTGCTTCTTTCCTTTGGGATGGTATGTGCATAAAGACATCAAGGTATTGAACTCATAATGTTGTGAGTTTATACATGCCAGACTGTGTTCCACCACTTTTTGAAGCAGGTATGTTCTTTGAATAACTTTGCCTTGTATTTCAGCACTAATCCAAGGGAACTATGGGTATTGTAAGAAAAAAAAAGGTGTATTATTACAACCTCTGTATAAGATGCTTAATGCTGGGTAATGTAAAATCGATACAGAAGGAGCTTAAGTTATCTGGGATTCCACCTTCTTAGGAGATGTAGAATTGTTACGAGAATTTGGACTGTGTTTTGATAATTTTACTCTCATTCAAGGAAGAAAACAACATCTTCTTGCTTTTGTTCTACCGGAACAAAAATAAGTAGCTCAAAAATAGTATTCTAATGTAATTTAAGCCATCAGGAATGTATCTAGACTAAAATTGTGACTGTTAAAGGAGAGTTTAACTTTTTCTAGAAAAGTATTGTCTCATTGCACTTTTAGTATTTTATAGAACTGCTTTAAATAAGTAAGAAATAATTTTGAATAGCTAAAGTTAAAGCTTCACGTTGATTAATCGCTAGAAGACTGAATAGGCTATTGGGTTTAAATTTCCATAGCTGACTAGGTTATTAAAATATTTTATGAGAAAGTACAAATTACATGACCTTGTAGTTCTTCAAAATTAAATACACCATAGCTTTAATTTTGGTTTATGCTTCAGGGCTTCCAGGTAGCTGCATTTTTGACATCAGCATTATGTCACAGATTTTTAACTAATGCTGTATATCTGTGACTTCACATAGTTACTACCATTATCTTGTGCATTAACAGGCTTCATGTGCCTTGCATGATCCCAGGATAGATCCCAGGATTATACTAAATATGCTCCTACGCATGCCATCATGAACAGAAAGCATGGTAACTACTGCAGGTGGTAAAGTAATATCTAGATCCTCACATGCAATTTCATTTTCTAATTGTTAACTTAAAACCAAAAGTTCAGTACATTTAATTGAGGGATTGTTTTCAACACTTTTTTTCAGCAGGTCAAAAGTCAAAAGACCCTTAATTGTGAGTTGGTTGATCAGAAAAAGACAACAACAAAGTAAATCCTATGTGCCAGAATTACTACATAGATTATGTTTCTCTGTGTACTTATGTGGTATTTGATTTTCTTTTTCATACTGAATAATACCATAGAACTTGAAAAGTGTTACATGGTTGGTTCTGAACCAAAATGTGGCTTAGTAAATAATATATGAATAATGTCATGATAATGTTTCTAGCTCAGCAATGAGAAGGATGTAATAACAAAGAGTATAGTCTTACCTAACAAAGCTGGTTTACAGCTCACTTTTAGGTTTTTTCTGTGATCACTTTTCAACATTTGGAGAGGGGTCCAACATTCAAAGAAAGAAAGTTGTGGTGAGAATTTTGTTCTGTCATCAATGAGCTGTAGCTTTCTCTTAGGAATCACAGGTATCTATATCTTGTGGTTTAAATTATGGTTTATGTAGTATCCTAGATTGGTTTAAGTTGGAAGAGACCCTGAAGGTCATCTTGTTCCAACCCCTTACCCTGGGCAGGGACACCTTCCACTAGATCAGGTTGCTCAGAGCCTCATCCAGCCTGGCCTTGAAAACCTCCAGTGGTAGGGCAGCCACAGCTTCTCTGGGCAACCTGTTCCAGTGCTTCACCACCCTCACAGGGAAGAATTTATTTCTGATATCTAATCTAATTTTAGCCTCTTTCAGCTTAAAGCCATTCCCACTTGTCCTATTATTACACGTACTTGAAAAAAGTCCCTCTCCAGGTCTCTTATAGGCCCTCTCTAAGTAGGAACGCTGCTAGAAGGAGTTTCTGCTCTTTGAGTTTGTGTCATTGCCTAGCATTAGCTAGGTCTGGTTTAAAAATGTTTCATTCTTCAAATCCAAAAGGATGAACTGCACTCCATAAGGAGGCAGTCAAACCACTCAGTGAAGAACCACTGGTTTGTCTGCTTCTCTTCCGTAATAAAGGAACAAATATTAGATCTAAAGGGGACTAAATCTGTCAGTCAGTGCTTGAACTATACTATAAGGGTACCATGTTAAATTTATCATTCATTCAGTCCTAAGTATTGTATCTCAAATAAGAGAGGACCCTGATAGATGTCAGTGTTTCCCATGAAGATTTTTTTAATAAAGTTACTTTTATAACACCAGGGTCAATTCTAGGTATCTGCTCTCATCATGTAGGTCCAGATTCACTCCACTGGTTCTTAGGGTCATGGGTTTGGAGTCACAGAATCAATCAGGTTGGAAAAGATCTCTGAGATCACCAAGTCCAATCTATGACTGAACGCCACCATGTCAACTAAACTATGGCACAAAGTGCCACATCCAGTCTTTCCTTAAACACCTCCAGTGACTCTAGCACCTCCCCAGCAGTCCATTCCAATATCTAATCACTCTTTCTGTGAATAAATTCTTCTTATGTCTGACTTAGACCTCCCCTAGTGTACCTTAAGATTGTGCCCTCTTGTTCTGTTGCTGTTGGCCTGGGAGAAGATACCAACCTGGCTACAATCTCCTTTCACGGAGTTGTAGGGAGTGGGAAGGTCACCCTTGAACCTCCTTTTCTCCAGGCCAAACACCCCCAGCTGCCTTAGCTGCTCCTCATCAGACTTGTGCTCCAGACCCTTCACCAGTTCCATTGGTCTTTTCTGAACTTGTTTCAGCAACTCAATATTCTTCCTGAATTGAGGGGCCCAGAACTGGACACAGTACTCAAGTCATCCTGAGCACACTGTAGAGATAATAGGGAGAAAGTGCTCGGCCAGTTGTTCTCAGAGTCTGTATGTCTGTTGACAATATAAGGTGTCTAATTTGATTCAGTCAAATTTAATCACAATTTAAGCACCTGAGATTGGTTAGGCTGAACCTGAACCCCTGTGTTAAGAAAGTAAAAATTCTCCACTTCATTACATTAGGTAATACTCAGAGGTACGAAGCTCTTATCCACTGTAAGAAGTTAATAACCTCAACAAATAGTGGAATAATTCTCCTAAGACTTACTAAAGAAAAATGTAAACAAACACAAATAAAACTAGGTAGAAATATAATGTTTGGGTAGTAATGCTATAGCAAATTTATCTATTCATTTCAGTGACAGCAACATCGAGTCTTTAATACAAACAGTGCTACCCAACACGAAAGCTTCAGTTCTTTGGTTTTTGCTTTTCCAATTTCTCATTTTTTCCTAATTGTAAAATATATTAAAGGACAGAGTATAATATAGAGGAGATTTTACTCTAGATTCACTTTCATGTATTTTTAACCATTTGCTGCCTGAAAAAAAATCTATTAAAATGAACAATAAGAAATACTATCTCTATATACTTTGCAGTCCCTGGTATTTTATATTATGTTCTACATTAGCAGCTTTGGTAATGCACTGCTATCATGGCTGAACAAAGGCAACGTGCTTTGTCAACATCAGGTGAAGCGTTATATGAAATCCTGGCACTAGAGAAGGGAGCAACACATGATGAGATTAAGAAGTCCTACAGGTATGTAAAATGTGCTTTGCAACAGGTCTAAAAATGTTTATTTGTCTGGAATGATTATGACAGTAAAACCTTTTGAGTTACCTGCACATTCATTGTCACAATCCTTCTTTCTTTTTAAATTTATGAGCCTGAAAAGAATCAGAGATGATGCAATGCGAATCTACTGATTTCATCCCACAAGCAGTCCGTGAATAATTGAAAATATTTTAATCTAAGTGAATGAGAGGTCAGACTGTTGGGATAAACCAACCTGGGCTATTTGAATACTGCACCCAGTTCTTGTGTTAGTATTTTTCCTGAAGTTTGTTGAAAAGTAAAGCTAATGCAAGTGCTGTAATGACAATCTGAGAACTAAAGTAAGAAACATAAGGAGTTCAACAAGTTTATCTTGTCAGAAAAGAAAAAGAAGATTATTTAGAAGAAAAGATAGATTATTTGATTAGAATGTGTAATGTCCTTGAAGGGGAAAATTGCTAGGTGTGAGATAGTTATTCACTTTATGAAGGCAGGCATAATAAAAAGCAGAGCTTGGGATCTGAAAATTATTTGAGCTGAAAAAGAGGTACATGGATTTAATTGTGAGTATAACCAACTATTGAAAAATACTGGCACAGGAATGGTAGTTTCTCCATTGAAAAGAAGAGAGGACATTAAGAATAGTTTGAGTCATACAAAAGTTATCAAAACAGTGGCAGATATTTTATTGTTGAAATGTAACATGACCTAGAAGTAAGATCAGAAGATTTTATGGGCAATTTTGCCCTTAAATTTGCTCAGCTGCTGTTGAAAATCAAAAAAATTAAATGTCATGTGTAGATGTAGATGTTCTTGACACTGGAATATGTCAGACGTGTATTTGCAGGTTTAATAAATATTGTAAAACTTTTATTACAGCATCATTCTGGGTATTGTTCGTTACACTACATTACCAGGCAAACTTAACACAGCTTACTTTTCCTATCAAATGTAAGCATATATATGAACTCAAAAAGGTTTATGAAAAAGATCTACTTGCATTGTTTAGCTTGAATTTTGGCAAGACTCTGTCCTCCATGTTTTTGAACAAATTGCATTTCTCCTGCTTTCTGTTCCTAAAGGCACATATTCAATGGAGGCAAAAGTAGTGGATGTCCAAACTCTTCATACAATGGAAGTAGAACTGTTGTCATCCCATGGTTCTGTTGTCTTGCATAATTATACCACTGGGAAAAAAGCATACTATGGTATCAAATTCACTTATGACTTGCACCTTCTATGTCCCTGTAGTACAACCTAGCTGTAGGAATCATCTTCTGTCTCAAACTTCATGTTTTCTGGTTGCTTTTACATTTAATTTTCTAGAAATCCCCAAAGGAGAAAGTTGTCATGGAAGAATGTAGAATGCAATTAACTTTATTTAATGCTGAGCGTGAATATGGATCATTTAGACAGTGATCTATGGCAAAACTGACAGTGGTGTTTCCTCCATCTTTATTAGTAATTAGAGAAAAAAAAAGGCTGCTTCTGACTAAAGTGGAAATGTCAGAGGGATTCACTTTTAATAGAGTAGCTGTAAATATTTGCAAGATAAAATGATGAGTCAGTCTCATAGATTTGCTTTAATTATAATTTAATCTATGTTAATCCAAAAATCTGCTGCTGAAATGGTATTCTTTAGTACAAGGTATAAAACCAGCCATACCTGATTCTGAGTTTCCTGCCATTATTAATTAAGTCACTGTTAATTATACCACCACAGCCCAGGGCAAGATTTGCTTTTTAATAAACATGACAGACACGAATCTGTGATTTTATTTGGAGTTTGGCACAATCTAATTTATCAGGGAGTAAAGCTAATGGGCTTTTAATCATCAGAATTTCAAAGGAGATCTGTTTATCTTCAATATAATACAAATATAATTTTAGAACCTTTTTTTTTTTGGCATAATAAATGAAACTGTACTTTGACTTATGGTTTCTTGTCTGACAGGGAAGTAATATGCAGAGAGATAGATACTGGATTTCTTTTCTTCAGAAGTTTCAAAAGATCCTGCTTGATAGATTGTTTATAAGAAAATTACAGAATAGTAGAGTGGTGTGTGTTGGGAGGGACCTTAAAGATCATCTGCTTCCAATCCTCTGCCCAAGGCTGCTAAGACTAGACAAAGTTGTTCAAAGCCTCATCCAATATGGCCTTGAGCATGTCCAGGGATAGGTCATCCACAACTTCTCTGAGCAACCAATTCCAGCGCATCACCAACCTCACAGTGAAGAATTTCTTTGTAATAGCTAATCTAAACTTTGCCTCTTTCAATTTCTAGCTATTACCCCTTGTCCTGTCATTACACGCCCATGTCAAAATCCCTGCTCCATCTTTCTTGTAGACCCTACCTAAGTACTGGAAGCTCCAATTATGTCACACTAAAGATTTCTCTTTTCCAGTCTGAATAAACCAAATTCTTCTGGCCTTTCCTCCTAGAAAAGGAGCACCATCCTTCTAATCATCATGGTGTGACTCCTCTGGACTTGCTCCAAAAGATCAGCATCTCTGTGATGGTAAATTGGTGATTAAGATTTTTATTAGAAAATGTGTACTGCACTCCTATTGCCATTTAATTACTACAAAGAAAAGAGGGAAAATGGCTTACTCATGCCTATGCCAATGGCATGTTCTACTCCTGATACAGCCTCTGGGTCCACCCAAGACTCCACACAGCCAAGAGAGGACACAGCACCTATGGTGCAGGAAAGAGAATGAAAAGCATTGGAGAATGCGGGCATCGATCCCGCTACCTCTCACATGCTAAGCGAGCGCTCTACCACTTGAGCTAATTCCCCACCCTCCAGCCTCTGACTGAGGTCCTCTCCCCTCCCAGGCACCCATCCCTGACCCAGGATGCCCTACATGCAAAACCACCAACCCACCCACTCACAGTCCTGCTGGAGGAAACTTTGGCCAACTCCAGTGCTCAGAATCACCATCCCCTGATCAAGGGTTCACCAAAAAACACCTTGGCTGGTTATCTCCCACAAGTCAGACAAGAGCTCATGACTGGACAGCTCATTCCAGGGAGTCCCCTGGGCAGGACCAGAAAAAGGCAGGATGTGTGCCAGAGCCAAAAGGTCACTCCTTCGAGCCGGAGTTGAACCAGCGACCTAAGGATGGCCATGCAAGGGAGCCTACAGTCCTCCGCTCTACCAGCTGAGCTATCGAAGGAACCATGGGAACCTGCCCAGGACCTCGCCCAGCAGTTTTCCCAAGCCACAGTGCACCATCATGCCTCTATTACCACACCCTGCTTCAAATAGCTTCAGCTCCATCATTTCCAATCCTTGCTCAACACTTTAGCCCATCAGTCATGCAAACCACAAACAGAAATGCTCCATAAGCTCTTTGGACATAATTTTCATCATGAGTAGATGGACTCTCCTTAGGGCCACACACAGCTTACCTTTATCCTGCTGCAATTTTCCTTGATTCTCTTCCACTGTGCTGTCTTTTGCTCTCTGCTCAAGCATAAGACAAACAAAATTACAGCCATTTCTCTTTTCTGTATCTTAAGCCTAAACACAGCAACAAGTCCTCCAAACATCTATTTTCTCCAAACTGAACCTGCCCACTACTCTCAGCAGATCCTTAAGACAAATCCATCAATTCCTTGAGATTCTGAGCAGCCCTTGACTGAGGTTTAACATTTCATCTATGTTCTTTTCTGTACTGGGCTTGAGATTTGAGAACTGTGAAGCAAAGGGAGAGAATTTAATTTCTCCTGTTAAACTACCCATAGGAATCTTGATAGAACCCTAAATGTCTTCCTTCTCTGTAAATTCAAGACACACCATAACTCTCCACAGGGGACAAATGGAGTCCTGGAAAAGGGCCCTGCATCCAGGAAAGGGGAATGAAAAGCACTGGAGAATGCAGGCATCGATCCTGCTACTTCTCGCATGCTAAGCAAGCACTCTACCACTTGAGCTAATTTCCCACCCTACAGCCCCTGACAAAGTCCTCTCCCCTCCCAGGCACCCAGCCCTGACCTAGGATGCCCTGCACCCAAAGCCTGGGCATCCCATTCATATCACTCTCATACCAACCCACCCACTCACTTTCCTGCTAGAAGTGACTGTGGACACCACCCATGGTCAGAATCACCATCCCCTGATCAAGGGTTCACCAAAAAACACCTTAGCTGGTTATCTCCCACAAGTCAGACAAGAGCGCATGACTGGACAGCTCATTCCAGGGAGTCCCATGGGCAGGACCAGAAAAAGGCAGGATGTGTGCCAGAGCCAAAAGGTCACTCCTTCGAGCCAGAGTTGAACCAGCGACCTAAGGATGGCCATGCAAGGGAGCCTACAGTCCTCCGCTCTACCAGCTGAGCTATCGAAGGAAGCATGGGACTATTCCCAGGACCTCGCCCAGCACTTTTCCCAAGCCACAGTGCGCCATCATGCCTCTATTACCACACCCTGCTTCAAACAGCCTCAGCTCCATCATCTCCGATCCTTGCTCAACACTTTAGCCCATCAGTCATGCAAACCACAAACAGAAATGCTCCATAAGCTCTTTGGACATCATCTTGTACAGATGGACTCTCCTTAGGGCCACACACAGCTTACCTATATCCTGCTGCATTTTACCTTCATTCTCTTTTACTGTACTGTTTGATCTCTGCTGAAGCACAAGGCAAAACAAAATGATAGCCCTTTCTCAATTCTGTGGCCCACACTGAAGTACCACAAGGCCATCTGCAAATCCTCAGAACCTCTCTTACTGTAAACTTGTTGCCTTTGTAAAAGACAACGGGCGACCTGGTTCTAAGAGGCAGCACGGCAGTCTGGCCTCTCCAGACCGCTCGGGCTATCGACAAAGACGCTTGCACCAATGTGGCCAACGATCGAAAAGCCTTTATTATCTCATCTCATGGGTTTAAATAGTCTTGGGGGTCTTTGCTACGTCAGAGGAGGGTTGTGGGGTCTCAAGGGTTAGTTGGGAGTGGAAAACTACTGGGGCAGGTGTG